GATGGTAGAACCAAAACTCACAGAAATAGCCTGTAGGACTAGTTTGAAACTGCAGCTACAATCAGTGTAACCTGCTGAAGAAAAGACATCTTAGTTTTCCAGCTATTAAAGTGTTCAACTAAGCCCTACATGACTAATGCATTATATCATTTCATTCTGCTCAGTTTTCCCCACATGTTTTCTTGGTAGTGTGATAACTGCACTTAGATAAAGATCACCAAAAAATGAGCTGAAGCAGCTGCCAGATGACTGGGATACAGTCAAGTTAATTAATAATGGTCTTATATGCCCTATGCTGCATTACAAGTGTTTAGAGTCTACCACTTTTTCCTACAGGAAAAACTTTCTTTTTAAGAGCACTCACAGAAAACAGCAAAAATTCTCTTTAACAAATATCTCTCTTTCCAAAGAAATACTTGTCTAACAAATAGTGTCATTTGAAAATTGATTATGTTATTAGCAAGTCAAAAATCAAAGAAGATATAAAGAGATCCTTGCAGGAAAATGTGTCACTACAGCTGTATCAGTAAACCTTCCCTGTGCTCTTGCTGGTTTATCTATCACATGTTCCATGATCACAACAGACTGTACTATGAAAAGCTTTTTTGCTGATAATTGTCTGCACTCCTTTCTGTGAATATATAAACATGAAACCAAGTTCACACTCATGATCAACAGTAACACACCAGCAGAAGTTTCTATACCTAAACTAGGATAGTTGAAACTTTGAAATAAAAATGAAAATAACATCTCATTAAGATTGTGCTTAAAAGCTCTACCGAAGTTTGAATGAAAATGTCAGTACACGTTAATATATGAATATATATGTAAAAAACCCTTAAAATTAAAACCAGATGTAGACAAGCTCTTTTAAAAGATCTTTTGATTATGTAATTGAAGGATATAGAAACACAGTCATACAATTCCTGAGCCCCAGCTTTAATTAGCCTTTACTGCTGACTGCTTTCTCTAATGAATCCCTAAGTTACCATCATTACCAGGTAAGCCAAGGCTGCTTTATGTTTTACAGCTGTCATAACTGAAATGTGTCCTGTGAGGGAACTGTTCACAGAAAGACACCTGACTGCAAACGATGCAATTCTTCAGTACCACAGTCATATGGCCTTAAAACTGAGCAATTTTCAACGTAGCTTTCTCTCAGAAAATCTCTTCTGAAATACTTATTTTTAACTCAGGAAAAAAATCAGTTTAGTGCTAAAAGTAGAAAATAATAATTGGAAAATGTAAAGTGATGATCCACAGCAGCGAACTATTAAAAGACAAGGATAATAAAAAGAAGCTACTAGGATTTAACAGATATTCAAATAGATGTCAGAAATCCTCACAAAAGCCTATTACAGCAATTACATCACAATCTAATGTTAACATCAACATATAATATACCATGTGGGAGGAAAACACGTTTGTATGAAAAGAAACAGATATTCCTTTCTAGATATGGCCCATTAGTAACCTTTATAATACTAAAGGTTCAAGCAAACCCAAACAAAATGGTTATAAAAGCCAACCTCAGTTGTAATTTCTTTGCTTTTCCTTCAGAGGCATTGGCTTTCATGCAGCTTTTTATTTTGTTTACCACCAGCACGACACAGTGTGCACAGGCTGGGGTTTAGGAGTGAAACACAAGCTCTGAGGGTTAAGTAGCACCTCTGACAGCCACTCACGTTTCGTGGGAACTGCTGCACTACACAGGCTCTTTAAATTTAATTAGCAAGGTTCTACTTAATTACTTATCTTTTGCATTAGTGCTGATAAACACTCTGGGGCACAGCAGTGGGCAAATCTCATCTGAGGAATCTCACAGAAGGCTGGAGGATATCCATCCTTGGAGGTTTTCCAGGTCTGACTGGACAAAGCCCTACACAATCAGTGTGGGCTCTACTTTGAGCAGGAGATTGGACAAGAGACCTGCAGCACTCTGCCAACCTAAATGAGTCTAGGTTCCATAGGAAAGTTATTTGTCTTGAAACAACGACACAAAACACATCTTCCATGTTAGGGGGATAATTACACATTTGTCTCATCACTTGTGTGTCATTAAATGTATGCAAAATGGTGTAAATACACAATAAAAAATGACAATTGGACAATTTCCATGACTTTTTCAAACACCTGATATGGTACAACATGGCCTCACTGTTAGTTCTGTTGCAAGTACTTTAAAACACTGCTCTGCACAGCATCTGTAATAATCAGATTACTACATGATCCATTAATTATTAAAATACACTTGTCTGTGTTTTAAATTACTTTTTGAAGAAAACATGTATATTCTCTTTGAATAAGCTGAAGCAAAATGTAAGTTAATATTAAATCAATAAAGTAATGAGAACCACAGTATTTCATTGCACTCAACGACCAGTATCTGAGTAGTCTAAATATTTCTAAGTCTAAATAAATAAGCCTAGGATATCTATCTCCTCACTACCAACTTTTCAAAAACCATAGTAATTTCATAACATATAATATGTAGAAAATAAAAATCCAGTTTAGACGATTTTCCCCAAATTAGGAAAACAGGCATCCTCAGAGTTGAGATCCATACTTAGAAATAATAATGTACTTTTTTTAAACTAAGCAAAAAAAAAAAGGAAATTCAACTGTTTACATCACTGGATGATTTTTAAAAGGTAACAGTTATTTAAATCATGTTTACTTAAAACAGTGGAGAAGGTGAGTTTGTTAGCAGAAAAAAAAGCTAAATTCTTTCTGCTATTAGTAGAATAATGCTGAGAATCAGGACTGTATTTAAAGCAGAAACTCAGATGGGAAAATATTCAAGAAGTTCCACAGGGTTTTTAACATGACATTTATATTAACTTTAATAATACCCCCACAACAAAATTACTTAAAAAGCTTTTTAACACCATACATTGAAATTCATAGTCTTACATAAAATAAAACTTCAGAATTTAATTATAAATATTTGGGAGGTGAGGGGGGGTTAACATAGTATTAAAGCTACCAAGTGTTAAGTCTTGAGCTCTGTAAATAACTTCACAATAAATACCTGGCTGAGGAAAGCTGGCTTGTAAATCTCAAGCATTCCAGACACTGAAATTCCATAACTGCTTACATTCCAGACCTAAAATGGGAGATTTCCTTCAATTCTGTTTGGAAGGCAGATCCTAGCTTACCAAGATTCATTGTTTCATTGAGGAAACTCTTTTATTTAGAGGCCTGGCACTTCAAAAGGATCTCTCTTGACACAGAGGGGAAAAAAATACTCACTTCAGATGAAATGACTTCCTCATGAGAATAACTATTTACCTCCAGTGCTAAGCAGAAAAGCAGAGGAGTTAGAATGAAGATGCATAAACTCGTCACACAAAGGTTACAGTGTATTCAAGCTGAAGTCCAATATCAAATAACAATCCTCACTTCTACAATCATTTCTCAAACAGTGTTCTAGAGAAGATGGGGAAAGACCTGAACACTGAGCTTGATTCAGTGTAATCCAGATCTTGGGGGACACCAGGTACCCAGGGGGTGGCTGTTGGCACCTAGTGACAACTTGAAGGGTCAGGTTAAGTAGGCTGCTGAAATTCAATGTATTTCAATAGAAAGTACATACCTAATGTACTCAGCTCCAGGAGGAGAGTAGGGATCTGTGTTACCTAGTACCCAGACAGCTTTGTGAAACTCATTACAAGTTCACTTTACATAAAGTAACAGCTTCCTCATCTTTGAGGAGTTAGGCTGGTCAGTTTTAAGGGCTCAGTCCTCTGCAGGCTAAGCTTTCTGGAGCTAACAAAGTGTGCCAAATTAGGAAATATTTGTGTTACTTGGGTGTTCAGAATAGTGTAAGACTAAAACACAAAAACATCTTTTTTGACCTTTGCAAAGTAAACACTGAAAACAGCTCATTCTACAGACCAGTCTTCAGTGGTTTGCATCTCAGTTTTGTGACCATGTGCCATCACTGCACTGACACAGGCATGGTGTGATGTTCACTGAGCAACTCCTGCAAGTCCTTATGGAGTGTCTTATTTCCATATTGTTGTTTTATACAGGAGCAAAGGCATTACTTCCAGCCTATATCTCCAACCACAGTTCTTTCATTCTCCCACCTTTATTTGAAAGAATTTGTCTCACTTTATCCACAGAATCACAGACTGGTTGAGGTTGGAAGGGACCTCTGGAGGTCATCTGGTTCAACCCCTCTGCTCAAGCAGAGGAGCCAAGACCACATCCAGACATTTTTTTTAATATCTCCAAAGAGAGAGACCCTACAACCTCTTTGCACAACCTGTGCCAGTGCTCGGTCACCCTCACAAGAAAAAGATGTTCTTTTAGCTGGTGCCCATTGTCTCTTGACCTATCACTGGGAAACACTGGAAAGAGCCTGGCTCAGTTCTCTTTTGAACCTTCCTTTCAGGAACTTATTACATTGATAAGTTTTCCCCTGAGCCTTCTCTTCTCCAGGCTAAACAGTCCCAGTACTCCCAGACTTTACTCATGGGGGAGATGCATCAGTCCCTTAATCACCCTTGTGGCCCTTCATTGGACTCTCTCCAGTATGTCCACGTCTCTCCAGTAACTAAGGAGCCCAAAACTGAACACTCCAGGTGTGGTGTCACCAGTCCTGAGTAGAGCAGAATGACTTCCCTATTCTTCCAACTAAACCAGTAATATCTTTAATACCACTAGAAATGGTTTTTATAATGTTACATTGTATAATTTTAATTAGAATTCAGGACCAAGTCTCTTTACAATTACAACTGGCTGTCTAAGCATAAACACAACTCACTATTACCTTGGACAGCACCAGTTTGGATGGTCAAGAATCTAGTCATCAGCTACTCACTGCTGAGTTTTCAGGGCTCATCTACTGGCCTTTGCTACAGATTTCTCATATAGCTTTAAGCAAGCCATTTTCAATGTCCTATTTGATAAGTAAGAAAAACAAGTTTGAGCCTGGTACACGCTGCTAAAACATCAAACACACACCCACAGTGGCTTTAAATTACCTGACTCATTACACCAGGGCAGCAGAGGAGCTGGAGCTGTTTCTACCCACACTCACAGTGACTTCTGTTGCTACAAAGGACACCACACTGTCCCAGTTAGGTTGTTGTCTCTGTTCAAGGTGACAAACAGGGTTGGCAGCCTGTTTATGTCTGCTGTGATATTACAGCACAGCACAGGAAAACTGGATGAGAACTGCAGAAAAAAGGGAACATTTGAAAACCACGGACACTCAATTCAATGTAAGACACATTAATATGACAGCCAACCTGCCTATGCACCCTATTCCTAGGGATTTCACAAAAAAACTAGACACCAAAGAGGATCTGATCTCAGTGGTCATACAAGAGAATAAGTGATTATTGAACAAAACTGAGAACACCGTGAAAGCCTAAAGCAATAAGGTGGATCACTGAACAGGGTATTAACAGGGAGGGCTAAAACAGTGAGGCTTCTCCCTTTTATTTTTGTCACAGGAAAAACCAAGTCATTATATCTTGGCAAGAAACATGAAGAAATAACAGCTTTAGTGACTTCAAAATTACTGTCATTAAAGACTCCCTATGGTTTGAAGTGTTATTGAACCTGCTTCAAGAATAATCACTTTCTACTCGGTTTCATATTCTTGTTTTCATATACTGGTAAAGTAATACAATGACCAATATCTAAAAGTAAATATGATTATATCAGAACAAAACCATTTGAATGTATAAAAATTACACAAATGTTTCCACTGGGTTTAGGCTTTGAGATTTAAAAAAATACCCAAATGTTCCCCTGTTCAAAAACATGTATACATTTCTGTTTCTAAAAACTGTACTGCAAAGTGAGCAACACACAAAAAATGGATTCTGTAAACAAGAATTTCCTTTCAAGACCATAACTTGAGAGCAACACTGACTTTCACTTTTAAAGAAGCCATGTTAATTGTACTTGTAAGGAAACACTAAAGTAAAAAAGAAAATTTATTCTGGAAAGCTAACAGGCAACACATAATGACAATTTATTAAGCCACAGCTGTGCATAGGCAATCCATACCAAGATTCTACAAAGCTGTATCCATTTGCAGAGACTAAATCCTTCAGCTGGGTCTCAAAAGGAACTCTCCTCTTTGCTTAGAAAGCCCCACACAGTTCTTTTACCTCCACTTTAGAAGAGAAAGTTTTATGGGACTCATGGCACGTGACAGAACACTTCCCTTCCTGTGACATGTCTGCAGTACTTAGTGCATTCAGGGTTTCCTGAGCACAGCATGTTCCAAAACTTCTCTCCTTAGCATTAACAGGCAAAAGAGACAACCTTCTATCTTTTCCTAAGCACTGAATATAACTATAGAGAAAATCAGAGTGATACCGTTGAAAATGGCAGGGGCTGGCCAGTGGGAATGCACATTTATGAGCCTTCACTCAGATGTTTTCCTCTCAATTGTTTTGCAACACAAATAAGGTTTTCCTACCTTGACAACTGGGGAATGATCTAAAACAAGAAAAGCATTATGAGCACATGAAAAAAAAAATGGGGGGGGAAGGCAAGGATGAGAAAAATTATGGTTGGTGAAGGAGGACAAAAAGGATTAAGAGAAGACTGGTAGCATAAAATTATGGCTGTAGATGATTGAAGGAAAACAGTAATTTCAGGGAGGGGGAAAAGAGAAGAAACTGGCTCCCCTGAAGAAACAAAATGCTGGGTAACATTCAGAAAGGGAGGAAGTTAGAAGCAACACGAGCACAAGAAGCTTGAAAAAAGAAGTTAAAATAGTGGCCATGAGGAAGTACAGTAGGTTAGTATGAAACAATAAAAGGCAAGGTCTGATCCATCAGGACAGTGAAGACAGAGGTGTAAATGTTAGAGGCTGGAATGCAAGACACTGAAAATGGGAGCCAGATACCAGAGAAAGGAGTAGAAAAAAGATTAGCTGTCATTAGTATTAGAAAATCAAACCAATACTAATTAGAAAATTAGTATTTGATAAATCAAACCAATCAGATTTTACTAGATGGAACATGAGCAGATCCTTTAAATACTTTGTAATATTGTTTACAGCTTAATCAAATAGAAGTATCAGTATATTGGCAGGATATATGTTTAGAGCTGACCAAAATTCACAATTCATTTTTAATTGCTTTAACATTTTGATTTTGTGCAAAACAAACTGAAAATATTACTAATCATTTCCGTTGACAATTAAGATTTTGCAGTGTACTCTAAGTTCTATTCCAAAATGTACAGTCACGTGCATTATGTGTTTAAAAATATTTACAAGACTTACTGGCTGCTGCAGAACTGGCAGATGCAGCAGCTTGTGTGTTAGCAGTAGCATCTTTACTGTATGATTTACTGTGACAGCCTTAAAGCTTTTGAGATTCCATTTCTTCCACACCCATTTCCTTGGTTTTAGATCTGAAAAGAAAAAACTTAATTTAGAAAAATGTTTATGTTAATTTTGAAAATCACTCTGTGAATATTCCCAAATGAAATTAAAATTGCTTTGTTTCCTGCCTAAAATGGGCAAATTTTTATGCCCACGGTCAACTTTCAGGCGTGGGTTCCAAGCCTGTTAACTGAAATAATTATATTCATATAGTTAAAGTTAACCAGAACAGTTTTTGCTATCTCCCTTCTGCTTCTGCTTGGTTTTGCACATGGCTGAATATCCTTACTTTGTGGTTGTTCCAATTCTGGTAATTCAATACATTTGCATATGTTTTGTTGAGGTTGTGAATTATTCTCACAGCAATACTTAATTGACTTTATTCCTTGGTTTTCAGTATTCATTCCACTAGAATTTTACACAGCTCCCATAAGTCTCATGCAGATACAGAATTTCTGCCATAGCAGTGGTCTCCCAGAGTCTTGGGATTTTTTCTGGTCTGACTAAATTTCAGTTAAATCTGTCCATTATCTATTTATAGTGGTTACACATTACAGAGAATACTGTGGGCTTACCCAGCTCTTCCAAGTTAAAGACCCATTAGGAGTTTGGAGCATATATAACTTTGATGTATGTAAACCTTCTCTAAATTAAATTTTCAGGGTGATCTTTTTCTACATACAATTTTCTCTGTCTGTAACTAAAAAGAAAATTCTGCCCAACAAACAGTGACTGACAGAGAGAAAGGTTTTGAGAAAAATATTTCTGTATTTTATGTCTACTTCAAAAACATATTTCTATTGCATTTGTCAATCAGCTTCAACATACAAGATAATGAAATCCACATTGTCATGAAATCTAAATAAATGAGCAGTAAAGATAGAAATCTGCTCTAAATCTAAGTTTTGGAATGGATATCAAATGACATATGCAATCTAAAAATCATAAACTTTTACTGTCAAAACATGCAGATATTTAATGGTAATATAATACTACTTCCAGAAGAAATTTCTAGGACAGGTACAGTCTGAATCCTGTAAGGATATTTATAAAAAGTGGCCATTTTTTATAGAGAGACACCTTCAGGGCCACCTAAAAATAGGTGTTTTTGCCAAAAACATTTTGAGATGTTAGATCCAGTTTTATTTTTCTTAAAGAGAAATAAAGCCATGGATAGTCAGCTCAGATTCCCTTCCAGGTTATGGTTTAAACTATTTATCCATATTTATATACCAACAACCAGTATTAAGAAATCATAATCATCATTATTACTGAGCTGAGAAAGCCAGTTTTGACAATAGTATTGCTAGTTCTGAATTTTCTCTGTGTGTACATATGTACACAATTACCAGGGGAAAAAGCAATAGATTCTCATTGAAATGCAGACCTGGTAGAAGGAAAAAAACCTACTAATACCTGATAGCCACTGAAAAACTAAGTCTGCCAATGCCTCCTTAAAATCATCATCAAAACATTTAACAGATTCAGGAAATACTTCACAGAAAGCAACATAAATGACTTGCAACGAGCAATCAGGATATACCTGACAAATATCTAAAAAGTCTACAAAAGAGATTTTGATATTACAATTTTTTTACTTAATGTAAAAATGTTCAAGTGAACTGTAGCAGTTGCAAAGACTTTCTGCCAAAGAAAAAAAATTATAACCTTTTGCTATTTGTGTGAGACATTAGGCAACTGTACAAACAAGAGGGGAATTCACTTCTCAAAAACTTACTTTATCAATGTAAAAGTCAAAGTTCCCAGTTATGCCTGAACTGGAGGATGCTGATTTCAACAAATTACATAGTCTTTAGGGTTAAAATTAGGATGCAGAATAAGTAATAGTTGTTAATATTTAACTAATTATTATATTTAATGAAAATCAAGTAATTCTTAAAAGAACCTAATTTAATATTATAATTTAATTTTATTATTCATACATTAGATCAGCCCCAAAAAAATCCCTTTACTGACTGCCCATGATAATTTCTAGCTTTTCCTCACCAGTTCTGGTTGCTCTCTCTGGTTCCTAAATGCATGTGCTTCCAGCTCTCTTCTGCAGCCCAAGGCTGCCAGTCTGGATGCATGTAAATTGGCTCATGTGTCATGTTAATACTTTTATGAGCTGAAATGCAGCATCTACCCATATACCACTGAAAATGCTATTTGTACTCTTACCTGAGAAAAAGCATCTTTAGCATCCCCAGGAACAAGTAGAAAATATGCCACAAAATATTGCAATTCTGTCAAACAAGGGGTCCTGGTCAGGCTTCAAAGGGGGAAAAAATCAGGACAAAGGTCTCAGCCTAAATTCAGCTGTAGCTGTGTGCTGTGTGATGCACAGCATTACTAAAGCTCATGCTTATGTACCCTGTGAGGAGAGGCTTTGACAACACAAAGGAATAGCTCTGAAACACACATTTGTGTTCCATCTCTTACTTCAATATGTTGTTCCTCTAAATGCTTAATTTTTTTGAGTATATTGCAGTAGTTCCTGATTCAGAATAGCACTTAAAAACACTCATTATTTGAAGCATATGTTAAGTTTATCAGCCAACAATTAAGACAGAATCTAAGTGATGTGCTGAATCAAAGCCAGTGGACATCACCACAGTGTCCTGCCACAGCAATATTTTCCTTCTCTTCTTAATAAAGAACATAGAGATCACCTGAGGTAACAGAACCCATACACTTTTAATTTATTCTCTTAACCTAAATATTCCAAACTCATACCTTTTATAAATTTTAGCACCATCACACAAAGTAAGCAAAGTAAAACAGACAGACAGTTTCATCTAAAAGTTTAAGATTCATGATATAAAGCTGCTAACTAAACTAGTTCTTCATATGTTCCACTACAGCTCTTTAAAGTTACATGAAAAGTTAATCTTGGGTCTCCAGCTGATGCAGTTGAGCTTCATTAGTAAAACACTTGCAGTTTTGTACTTGGGGAATATGCAGCTTATTTGATAATAACAGATCTAAGAATACTTGATTTAATTTATATATTAACCTTTGGGAGAAACCATGATCAAGAAGAACCTTGAAACACTGCAATAGATTATTTTGAGAGAAAGAAACGTCTCCAAACTTTGAGAACAATTTTCTGTCAAAACAACAAAAAAATATTCGAGACGCTGAATGAAGGGATTTAAAAAATCCTAAACCCATAAAGCAAATCAAAACTAGACAGAAGTAAAAGGTATAAGGATTTTAATTTGAAACACAATCCACAAGCACAGAGGAACTTCTTTCAGTTTGCAAAAATACTGAAGGGAAAAAACCTGCAGGGGAAATGCTTGGCTTTTCCTGAGAAGAGCAAAAGAGCTTCTTTGGGTATTTCAACATTAGGTTGTCAAAATACAGGGACTGATGTGAATATGCCAGGTACCTGCAAAGCTCTCAATCTTTTACTGGTTTTGTTTTGTTATTAATTTTCCATAAACCTAGGACTGAAAGTCGAAACATCTAAAGTTTAAAACACAAAAATGAAGGTACACAAAATTAGTGAGGCATCAAGTCACACCCGTGACATTAAATTTACTACATAATTAAAAATACGTAAGAAGAAAATGTTGTAAATAATCACAATGACAAAGAAGAGGAAGACACTGGACTAACATTTCCTTCTACTTTAGGAGGCAAGAACTGAGTCTAAGCTGTGCCAGAACTGTGTCAAGAAGTGCCAATAGGATGTTAATATTTCTTGCATCTTGCTTATCTGGGTATATTTGCACCTATTTAAGCACAAATAAACAAAAATTTTTAATCAGTCCTCCAAAGGTGTGTGGCATTTCAGAAAGCAGCATCAGCTTCTGGCAGTGTATTATAAATATCTCTAACAGGAAGAGCTGTAGATTATAAACTCATATAAAATTTTTATCCAGTGCAAGTAATAAGATCTCCAGCCATTCTTTGGATATCAAGGCATTAGGCTTTGCTTAAAAAAAAAAAAGACATTTTATATTTTGTAGGACTAGTGATTACTTTTGTACATTGTCAGCTTCAACTAACATGCTTCTCTGTGTGTGTTTTTAACACTTTTTCTCAAAAATCTTGCATTTGTGCACATGTTTTGTGGCAAGTGCTATCGACAGGTCACTCTTTAGACACAGAGTTTATCAAGGCTGCTCAAGAATCTGAATTTTAAATCTCTCCTTCACTATGCACAACTTGTTTTTATCAGCTTGACAGTATTTGGACTTGGATAAATGACAGGAATTAGGTTTCCTTCATTTATAAATGTGAAGCAGTCAAAATTCACTCAGAATATTTACAATATTCTTCAGTCTGATCAGGTAGTAACTATCTTAAAATAGATTGTGACATTCAGCCAGTGCAATACTAATTAATGACAGGTTAATGTGTAAAAAATTATTTTTATTAATAATAACAACTTAATATGCAAAATGGGTCAAAAGTCAGGATTGCAGACTATGAATTCTCACTTGTCTGCAAGGGAAGTAACTAAAGTATTTAAAGCCATACCTAATTCCCACTGAAGTGAGTAAAAGATAAAACCAGAGAGGTCAGGGTTGCAATAACACTCTAAACTGCTGTTTACAATTTTTGTGGCTAAGTCAGTCATCATATTTACACAGTGTTTAGAATTTCCATTACCCAATATATCTGAATTCATGTAGCCTTAGAAAAATTGACTGACTCAGTTTGGTGTCAGAGACATTTCTTCGACTTCCAAGTCAAACCATAGTCATTAGACAGAATCCTGTGTACCTTTTTACATGTAAGGCAAAAAAAAAATCACCTATTTATTCCTAACATTTGACTTCTCAGCAATATATTTGGCAACCTGAAAAATGTTTAAATACTCAATTCATAATTAATGTTATTTCACACAATGATATAAACAATATTTTCAGCCAATTCATACTATGAACTGTGAAGGTACTTCAGATAAGGAGCACTGGTCTAAAACTGATACTTCAGGTGACTACAGATACCTTTGGAGATATAAAGATATAAAAAGGACTTTTTCAAGTTGTTTTTTTTTTCTCCCCCAACAAACATACAGAGAGAGGTGTAATCCCATTTCTGGATCCAATAAAAAAAAGTGATAATTTAATCTTTCTTGTTTTATCCATAAAAAGAATTAAAAATATGTAACACTCCTGTGCTTTCCCCATCTCACTCATCTGAGTCAGAATTTCCTCTGCAGCAATTTGCTCTGTAACACTGTCTTTAAAAAATTAGCAAGGTTTAGGTAGAAATAGAGGCTGGCTTGGTAATTTTATTGATTAAAAGCTCTAATCAGGCAAAGACTTTACACAGATCTGGATCTACATCTAAATGTGTCTGCACACAAAACTTATCACACTGTACAGTGCTGCTGCATCACTGGAATGATTGGAAGGCTTCAAAGTCACCATTTTGATCTTTCTATATGACTCATCTTTCCTTCACAACGCCAAGAGCTGTGGAGAACAACATGTTTGCACGGACTTTTGCCTGCACTTTATTTAGGTCTGAAGAAAAATGCTCCTAAAACCCAGGCAGAACTGGGACTTTGGCTTATTAGACTTTTTTAAATTCTAAACTTGACTCTTGCAACCTGAGGGAAAGCTGTAAACACTTATCTGGGCCAATGTCTTTCAGGTACTCTTTTCAAGGATGTTCCTCTAGATAAGCTGGGCCACTGTAACAAAAATACTTTTTCAGCACAATTCTCTAGTTCAGTGACATGGGTCAAATCTGAGAGTGGACTGATGTTCAGTGGAACATGTTCATATGCACATTTACACATGACACTGAAGGAATAATCTTTTTGTAGCTTACCCACCAAAGAGAAAGGTTCATCGAGAGAGAGACAACTCAGCCAATCCTTCTGCAGTCAGTCCATTGTAAAAAGTTATTTCTGAAAATTACACAAATGCAAAGATTAAGTAATCTGTGAACTCTATTTTGCATAAAGAATTGTAATAGGAGTGTAAATGCATATAACATCTAAGAATCTCTAATTTTGGCACCACTGTAAGGAGACTGTGATTTCCCCCTGTCCCACGTACTGCATTCAGAGGTGATTACATCATCTCCAGGAGACAGAACAACTGAAATAGGCCAGGGAGGCCCATTAGAGCAGACACAGAGTAATTAAAAAGACTATAACGTTTTAGTTAGACAAGGAGATAACTCAAGAAAAAAGGGTCATTATGTTTCTGAAGAGACAAATAAAATCATGTGCAATTTAAGTTCTCAGAAAGGCCAGTAATGCCTTCCATCTGTTGAGCACAGCTTTGGAAGCACAGGAGGAAAGTCTGTTCCTTGATCTAGCACAGAATTCAAACAAGCAGCCCAAATATTTGAGCAAATTGTTGAAACCAAAGGTAGTTGTTTGAAGTTAACCATCAAATTGATCACTTTCCTGAAATAACTTAGTAAGTGTTAATATCGAGTAATTCATGTGTTTTTAAGCCCTCTGGTAGAGCTGAAAGACATCAACATGTTCTATCCTAATAGCAGGGCAGCAAGACAAATTATTTCTTTAAAAAAAAAATCAGTGAAATGCTATTGAATGTAAGGAAGCTATTGATACACATATGTTCATTCTGTGATTCTGTGACTTCAGGGTAAAAAGGAAAAAGGTAATAATAGCAATTAGAAATTAAAAAAAAATAATATTTTGTTCTTACATTATCCCTAATTAAATGTTTCCATTTTTATGTCAAGTTGTTCTTTACACTGGAATGTTCCATCCACCAAAATATTTTCACACATTTTTTGTTTCTTTGTTCCAGTGAGAGTAGTAGTTCTGGGTCAAAGCAAAATGCAAAAAATATGTAAGGGCACTTAATCAGAAAGGTAGAACCTCCATTTCCTTCGCAGTACCTCCATAACATTTATACTATTATTATTTATGCACTTCTAAAATACACACTGAAGAAAAAGCAACAAATCTGGCACTGTTCTTACAGATTTAGTTTTTAGTTTAGAAGTGGGAAGCAATGGGAGAGTTTCAGATTAGCCAAAGTGTTCACTGAAATCAATCAATTGGTATCTTCTGAGTTCAGTATAATTAAAAAATCAAACTTTAGAGTTGCAACTGAGTAGAAATCAAGTGTGAGGAATTCTGGTTTAGAAAAGATAATATTTTTTAGTATATTCTGAAATTAAGAGCCCCAAACAAAAGCGATACAGCATCCATTCCTAAAATATTATTTCAGTATTGCAGTTTTTGGGTAAATAACTGTATAGAATAAAAGTATACAAAGGAGTAATTCAGCTTTCAGAGCCTGATTTTAAATTACGAGGAAGCTCAGTTTATTCCCAAACAAATTCTGCACTAAGCACCCAAAGAAATAATTCAAAGAGATGGTAAACTTAGCAAAACCTACTAAAATTAAGTTTGTCAAGAAAGAGTTTTAGAAACCATTATAAAAGTCTTCTTTTGTCTAATAAACATTTTTATTTTGACATCATTAACTACTGAACATCACAAGGTATTGTCACAGCGTAAGGTAGCAAAAAATATGGATGGAGAAATGTAGCTCTTTTTCCCTACTACTGCAATGTGTGACATGCTGCCAGCATGAAGAACTGATCAAGTCAAAACAAAACAAGTAATAACAGAATGCTGGTAGGCATTCTCTGCCACTGGATGTAATACCACTGAAGTCAGTGAGGTTTTTGGGGTGTAACTGAGATCAAAGTTTGGCATAAAATCTGCCTATAATGTCAACTTTTCCCCCTAAAGCTACTGCAACTAATACATCACAGACTTCATTTCACTGAGAGAAATATTCTCTATACCAAAATTACTGTTTTAGTTTAGTCACTTCAACCTAAAAATGCAGTTACTAAAGACTGAATATTGGGTAAATGCTACTGTGGGGCAGCATCCTCAACCAGGCCAAGGAATTTCACAGAGCAGATCCCATGTCCTCTTTGGAGAGAGAGATGTAGAACCAGCAGCAGGCACTCGGTATGCTGTAAGTATACTACTAGGTGGAGGAAAAATACAGGTAAAGAAAAATCCAACTGATCCAGGTTTAGAGGAGTTGCCAAGGCAGTGACACAAACCCGCAGCCTCCCGCCCCAGCGGTTTCCAGGCTGTCCCAGGCGGTGCCCTCACGGCGGGGGCAGCGCTGGGCACATGTCACAGGGCGGGAAACACCTGGCACGGACCCCGCTCCCCGGGAACTGCGTGTGTGGTTTCTGGTCAGGTTTTTGCGACACAACACGTCGAAAAAAAATCCCATTCCGGGCGGGAGGCTCCGAACAAACACAAACCCCCGGACAGAGACGGCAGCCGCTCTCAGCCCGGGGCTGCTTCCGCTCCCCGCCTCCCGCCGAGGCAGAGCTCGGCACTTTCGTTCCGGGGCCTGCGAGGGCCGCGGCGGAGCAAAGCCGGGAGGCGGGTGAGGAAGGGCTGCAGCCGGGCAGAGGATGAGGAGAGGAGCGGGGCGGAGGGCAGGACGGAGGAGGCAGCGCTGAGGGGCCGCGCTGTGCGCGGGCGGGCTCGGGCGGCCCGCGGGGGGAAGCGGCTGTGCGGCCGCGGGGCCTGCGGGACAGGGGCCGCTCGGACGTGCCCGAACGGCGGGAGCGCTTTGTTATTCCCGTGGGAGATCCCCGCCCCGAGGTCTGTGCCCTCCGCTGCCCTCAGCCCGCGGTGCTGTGGCCGCTGCGCTCACCTCAGGGAGCAGCAGCAGCAGGGCACGGCGGTGGGGAGCTCATGGCACCCCACACACCCCCAGAGCTTCACACAACCCCCGAGGTGTCCGGACCGAGGTCCGGAGTTGCCCCGGAGTTGCAGCTGGAATGTGGAGAGAACCCTCCAGCAGCAGCGATTTATCCGGGGTTTGGAGATCAGGTGTAGATGGAGTTATTTACAGTCTTAAAAGTATATCTGAAGTGAGATTTGGGTCTTACAAGTTGCATGAACTCTGTCGCTGTCGTTTTCTGCAAAGAATACCGTGTGAACACAGCTGAACGTGGGCACAGCTCTTATTGTGAGGCCGCAGCAGATCCCCCGTCAGTATCGGTAACAAAAGTGCTTCGAGGTGTCACCGTTGAGCACCACAGAGCATAAGACGTCATGCACTGAAAATCGGTTTGCAGGCTGGGAATGCATGTCCAATTCCAGGGCCTCTCGCCCTCTCTGCTGCTTGAGGAAACTTGATAATAGTGTGGCTAGGTCTGAGATGAAATGTATATTTGCTTTATCTCAGAGATCATTGAAAGCAAATTGCAGTATAAATTTTGTGTGCATGTTAGATTTCGTGTTTATTTGAATGGACGTCCCTGACCTTTCAGAAGTTAGACTTTGTCAAAAGGAGAGGGACGGTATCAGAGCATACATGAGTATCTAATTTAACCAGACAATAACAATTTTTTCTGGCATTAATTTTAATTTTTTTATTGGAAAGTTAGCTGAGTTTTTTGGTTTTATTATTTTTCAATTAAATTACACTTGATTTTATTTAAACACTTAATTTTGGATCACATCTCAGGAATTATTGTTTGTTTGTTTTTGTTAAACATGACTGGTTTGTGACATCATTTCGTAAGTGTGATCCCTGACATGAAAAAGTAAACCTAAATTAGCTGAAAGTAAATACTGAGAATGACTTTTTTTCATTTCCAGTGATGCAGCACAAAGTGCTAAAGGCAGTTTGTAACTACTGCAGGCTGTGCAGGCTGCTGACTGGGGGCTGCTTTGAAGATCAGAGAGGACCCTGAGTGATCTGTCAGAAGGGCTTTACTAAAGCCTGGAGTGACTCTGAGCCTGAGCTCACAGAGCACTAATTCTGTCTGCACTGGCTGTGGGCACATGGTCCTGGTTCTGATGCACCGCTCAGAGTACACGGTGAAACTTCTGCACCAGCTGCAGAGGGTGAGACAACACCTGTGTGGAAGAAAGCCTGGAAAAAACCCACCAATGGTACTAAATAAATACAAACTTGCAGAACAAATCTAGGCTGGGTCAGCACTTCCTATCTTGTACATGGAGCACCAAAGCCCTGTTCTAGCTCTTCTGATTTTTCAGCCTCAGGCTTTGCTCTTGGAAGATTTCTTCTATCTCACAAAGTTCTGCCCAGGAGGGATTTCATTCAGGGTGTTTGGTTGGCCCCCACACAATAAGTTTCAGGATAGAGATCTAAATTTGTACAATTAACTTTTCTCTTATGGATTTCTATCCTCTAGGCATGTAATTCATTGTTGGTAGTCATACTGAAGACTAATGGGATTGCTCATCCAGGTAAACACTGTTTAGCAGTGTTTTCATAAACTTTTAGTCCCTGATCCTAACAACAGAAAAAAATATATTTCTGCAGGAATTGAGTGGGCTAACTTAGTAAAATTATGAACGTGCCTATATGTGCATTAAAGAGGCAGATCTCAGATTCTTTCCAGCTGTTTATCTTATGCCCTCCTGAAATCTCTTTGGAGTTCTTGGTGCTATAATAAATGAATCAGATGATTTTATTACTCCTTCTGCTGTAGGAAATACCTTCTCTAATGAGTATTTTTTTGTTAAATAGGATAATACAGAATAATTTTCAATAAATTAATTCATAGTAACTGGATTTTTATTTAACAACATATTGTGTGTTTCAGCTAACCATGTCTTTGGGTTCATCTACACAAGGACCAAAAAGAAGTACTGAGTGTTTGGAAAGCCAAGAACTGCAGACTCCATCATCATTTCAAGATAACCCTCTTCAACAATTACAGTTAGCATCCCAGGAAGTACTGGAAAAGGCAAAAAAGAGTGGCAGATCAAAATGCCCCCGATGCAGTAGTTCAAGGATGTTTTATTGTTATACATGCTTTGTTCCTGTTGAAACTGTCCCTACCAAAGAAATTCCAACTGTGAAGGTTAATATATCTAACGGATTTTTTATAATATTCTTGTGTCTTTTAGTTACTGTGGACAGAGAATAATCTGTCTGCAACCATTTCTTTTCTGACTTACTCTTTATGGACATTCATCTTTAACACAGCTTAAGTATGAATAAACTACAGTTAGATAAAATTATTGTTCTTATTTGAGGAATTGCATGTAGAAATACTGAAAATGGTCCAGCCCTCACATAAACACTCATGTATCTACTAGATGAGAATACAAGCTGAAGTCACTCAGCTTCTCATTCAACCAGGTAGTTCTTGGAAGTTTCTTTACAGTGCTCTTCCTCATTCTTCAGTTTCTCATAACTCTGACCAGAACAGATTATATTGTGAACAAAAAATATGATTTGTCCATAACCAAGAGTGAATTTTACATAAAATGTGAGCTAAAAGGCATTCCTAAATGTAATAGTTATACAATTCAGATAGCCACTCTCAAAATATAAATAAATAGGGCAGTGCCCTTCAGCTAAAATACTTGCAGGAACTACAAAGAGGACTGAGACGTTTTGCAAAATCAGCTGGGAACTAAGATGCATTTCGAAGGTACAAGATTGAAAGCATTGTAAAAATACTTTAGAAGTACTTTGGAAATTTGACCTATTAGATTTAGGTGTATCTTCATTGAAATGGCCATTTTTGCAATTGGATTAATACCTAATAGAGATAAGTATTCATATTTAGAACCATTACATTGCTCAAATTAAGACCCCATCTGACTTACCTTATTGATTCTGTTTCTAGAGATTGTGCCATGCTTCTTCTCAAGTATTTCCAAAAACTGAATGTAAAAGATGCCTCTTGTCACTTGTCTCTACTTTAGTTCCAAGCCTGTTAAAACAAAAATATTATCCAAAATTGTCAGATATGTTTTAATTACACACCCATAGGGATTTCTCCTGAATTTTGCATAAGATTTGTACAAATGTTTATACCTCTATATATGATCATAAATATTGTCCTTTTTTATTTTTTTAACTCCAGTTACCTTTGAAGATTGACATTATCAAGCACCCAAATGAAACAGATGGCAAGAGCACTGCTGTGCATGCAAAGCTCCTGGCACCTGATGATGTTACAATTTATAAATACCCTTGCATTCCAGAATATGAAGAAAAGAGACATGAAGTAAGAAAACTGTAGCACTATCTAATCACCTTGAATTTCCTTTGTTCACCACCTTACATAAGTGGATTCACTGTGTACCATAAGAAATATTTTGCCCACGTATGAACGTGTTCAACTTGCAGTAAGTTAAACAGCAGTTTGTTAAACAGCACAACAGTGTTGTGCTCATCATATTCAGCAGCTGCAGTACTTAAACTTTGAATTAACATGTTTTTAACATAAATTTAACATTGCATTAGAAAATAGAATTTTTTACGAGATACTTTTGAATTTTGTCCTGACTTAAATGTTTTATAAAGTTTATAAAATTTCTGTTCTTTAATGGAAGAATTCTTGATGTTTTATTAGATTTTATTGACATTCAGATCTCTCTCTTCTTTTCATTCAGATAGCACTTATATTTCCTGGCCCCAATTCGGTTTCAGTAAAAGATATTGCTTTCCATCTCCAAAAGTACACTAAAAAAGGTGTCTGTAATAGTGATGATGACTGTTCCAAAGAACCAGTTCTTAAGCAAGCAAAAATAGACCCTAAAGAAGAAAAAAGTCCAAACGAATGCATCCCAAGCAGCAGGAATGAAGGCACTGGACTGAAGAAAATAATATTTATTGACAGTACCTGGAACCAAACCAACAAGATAATAACTGATGAACGACTTCAAGGTAAAAAATACAAGTTGATATTGAGATGTTATTGCTGCAGAAATGTTTAAGGGACATATATCTATAACAGACCTGAGCATGATATAAGTGTATATCTACCCCTGTATCTGAGGGGTACATGAAAGACTTGACAGCCTGTTTCAGGGCTGTAAATACTTCCTGAGCCAAAGACTCCATTACTTTCCATGTCATATAATTTGTTTTGCAAAATGATAATACTGAAGAAAGCATTTACATTTATTTCTCTCACTTCTCTATTGGAACAAATCTTGTCTCACAGAATGGAAGAGCTCATGTTAGAACAGTAGTTTGGGTTATCTCTGAAGAAAGTCAAAAAGGATTCCTTTGCAGGTGGTTCTCTGCTTTTTCAGGAGACCCAGGGGAGCATTTTTGTACACAGTGGTGGCAGACAGGCCACTGAAAGGTGAATGAGGGATTTAGGAGACACAGCACAGGCATGTCATGGCTTGGGTTCTCTTTCTAGTGAAGTTGTTACATTTTGATGATCTCACTACTTTCCAGACTAAAAGGGAATTCCTGCTGGCCCTTTGTACCCTCGCAACTCTGAAAGCAGAAACTGGTAACTCTGCAGAAGTTTTTTGTCTTAGGTTCATTACAAGAAGTTTACATTTAAGAATTCTAATTAAATCCACAAAAGGCAAAACAATTTAGCAATAGCATTCCATTTCCTTGGAGATGAATAGGAGTTTGAAAACACTTTCATTAGTGGAAAAGGTGCACTTAGCTGGGAGGCAGCCTGTCAAGTTTATATGCAATATATATAACTACTAGTGCCTGCTTTACACTGGATCCTACAAGGAATTTCACAGACTGTCTTCCATGGAAGATGAATGTTGTCTTGCTGTCTAGTCAGTTTATTAAAGAATCCCACATGTTAGTATAATGTATTGGCTAATTAAAATCCTGTTACAAGTATTTAGTTTAACACAAAACATGCTCTATCAACTACATTGAAGTATTACTGTAACAATTAGAGTAATTGCATGTTGCAAGTTTCTGTAAAGCATTTGGAACTTATTTTGAGAGGATGAATTCAAGAAAAGTAACAGGCAGCCAGGGGAACTGAAGATTTCCATGGAAGCTTATGCAGTGTTTCAGTAAAAAAGTCATAATTGGTGTTACTTTGGAGCTCTCAAAGGATGGTTTCCAGTTCCCCCATGACAGTGCTGATCTGGTGGACTCTTCCCTCCTTTTTAGAACATCATCTTAGGTCCAGCTGTTTTCCAGTCCTCTGTTTCCCTGAGCACCTTTCGGGATTGCTGTAAGGTTTGATAGTGTCATGGAAGTCAGTTTTTTTCTTACAGGGAGAATTTTACCCCTCCTGCATCAGGTGTAAGAGTTGCACACGTTGCTTTCCTTAGTGCCCCTCATACAGAACATAAATTGCATTATCACTTCTTTTAGAGATTACAGGTCTGACTTCCAAGATGAACAAGGCAGTTTTCTGAGGCATAAACTGATGACATTTTTATGCTGTACACACATGGAAAATAGAGAACTGTTGTCATTTTTCAGTTCAATTGCAAATGAAGTCATCATCCAACAAAATATTCCTGGTATATTAAAGTTCAAAAAGAAGTGATCGTAATTCCAAATAAGTAATTGCCGTACTTATTCAGAAAGATTAAGTTACAAGAAATACTGGATGGAAACATTAATGAAGCCAAGAAAATTTAAAGAAAAATCTTGTGTTTTGTAACCTTGTATTTATATAGAGAGTAAATCTAGCAAATTGTACTGCAAGAGAAAGCAAATGAGTACATCAATCTTTTAAAAAAAGAGCCTTGAGAACTTGGACAAAAAAAGTACTTCTATATCTACTTGTAAAAGTGGTGTAATATATCTTTAGAAAGCAAAACTAAATCAGTTGTGTTAAAGACAGGAAGTATTTGAAAGTTGGTAATGTCTAGGATTGATTACTTCATTAAAAGTGGTCTCTAGATCAGAAAGGAAACAGTTCAATCTAATGTTAATAATTACTTTCTCACATGAGTGATGGAGCTTATTGGCAACATCAACATGGTTGTTAAAGAAACAAATTACTTTGATATTTTTTCCTGTAAATTTGATCCACTTTGTATTAGCTTATACATTAGTATTGTAAGCTTTCATATTTGTAATAAAACATTGCCTTTGGCTCAGTAAACTCTAACCCTTAACTCCCTCTGGTTTTTATTTTTTATAAAAAACTACTAAAATTTTTTGTTTGAAATGAGCTGATCCTGCAGTTGTGGTAGGCTCAGTAGTGTCCATGGTCTTGCCTTCAATGAACTTTTGGTTGTATTCAAGCCACACCTATGTGGGAGTTTATGTTGGAGGAATCGTCCCTTGGATTTACTTCACTGCTGTTCAGGTGGAAGTGTCTCTGAATTTGATGGAACTTTTCACTTTGGTTATGGCTGAGAATTCAGGTGTTGAAAACTTGTGAGGGAAACAAGCTCAATGCAGTTTCCTACTGCTGTTTTAACTTTCACATGTATAGAATTATTAGAGGTAATAATTAGCCTGTTGTTTTGAGTTTTTGTTTCCAAAATGCCAACAATAACATTTAAATTGAGGGACAGAATCTTCTGGTGTTCAGGTTTTTTTAAAACACTGTAGTAGAGACTTGTTTTACTATGCAGGGTATCATACATTGCTAACTGCAAAGCAAACAACTAAATCCAGCTTGTAGTTACACTGGAAAGAATTAACCATAGTTGGAAGGTAAAAAGTATGGGATTACAAGTGCTGGGCTATAGCCCAGTTTGTGCTCCTGAATTTGGACTCTACTGAAACTTCTCTGTCCATAACTTCCAAGCAATTCTTAGACCATATTGTTATTTGTACTATTACTTGTGCTAAACCATCTCATGTGACACAATATCAGATTTTGACATTTAGAAAAAGGTAACTTTACAACCTTTCCCTGATACTATTGACAGGTGTATACACTGTTCTTTATAATCCAACTATCCATCCTGTTTGCAAAGGAGGCTTTAGTTTTGAATAGTTTGTGCATCTTAAGGAACATAACAACCAAGATACACACTTAAAATTCATCTGTATAATAGAACAGTTACAGAGACTGTGGTAGATAAAAGATTTTCATGTGCCATACAGACACCAAGTTCCTTCTTTCATCTCAAGTGGGAATGCTTTTAGTTTCTAATAAAGTTAATTACCAGATTCTGTCATACTTACTCCTGAGTAATCTCAGTGAGATTTCAGTTACTTAACAAGCATAAATGAAAAGTTTCTGGCTTTTGCAAATAGTCCTCAGTCAGGAACACTAACAGTCTGAAGGATTCTGTTTTACACTTGGAAGTTATTAACTTTGCAAAAGATGAAGTAATAATTTTAAGAACCTTGATGAGTCTTGGTAGATGTGGGTTTCACTCTTGCCATCTGAAGAGACCCTGCAGTTTACTGAGGGTTGTGAGGCTGTTGGAATGAAAGGATAACCTGTAATTAGTTGTAAATATGAGGATTGTATCCTTGTACTTACAGCATTTTTTCATCAAATTTCATAGTGGTCCACAAAGAAGGATAAAATTATTGCCTCAGGTTTACAGATGAAAAACGGAGGTACAGGAAGAGAAATGATTTGCATGCAGGCAGCCAGCAGGGCAGCAGCACAGCTAGAAAACAAAACTAAAGTCTTGTTTGGCATCCTGGCCACCAATCCTCATTGTCTAATCTGTGTCATCTTTTTGTCATGACAGGGTTGCTACAAGTTGAGTTGAAGACAAGGAAAACTTGTTTTTGGCGTCATCAGAAGGGAAAGCCAGACACGTACCTCTCCACAATAGAAGCCATTTATTATTTCCTTGTGGACTATCATCAGGAAATTTTGAAAGAGAACTACAAAGGACAATATGATAACCTGCTTTTTTTCTTTTCATTTATGTACACATTGATTAAAAATGCCAAGTGTTGTGCAGGAAAAGAATAAGATGTCTGTCTATAGGTGCATGACACAACTTTTTTTTGTAGTGATAAACTGCACAGACATAACTAGTTTTGTCTGACTGAAATCTGGAAATAGATTGTACAGTGGCTACAGTGTTTGTCCAGAAGTAACTGCAGACCTCATCCTTCACACTTGAGGTTGTAGAACTACTCAGATGAGCACTCCAGTCAGAGTTACTTTTTTTGAAAACGGTTACACTTTGCTAGATCTTGCTGGATTTCATCCTACAGGTGTGATGTGCTCACTGTGATGAGCACCGTTCCTGAGGTGGGGATAGGAGGACTTGCCATAAGGAGTGATCCCTCTAACTGTAAAAATGAATTAACTTGCTAGCTTTTTATTGTTACTAATAGTTCATGTCAGGTGTTTTCTTTTTGTTTTACACAGTAATAAGGATTTCACTTTCATGACATCAAAAGCTTACAGAAATTAATAGGGTGGTATTTAATGAGGAGAGTTGCACCAATACAAAATGAAAGAGCACATTAATTGAATACAAATTCTGTACTTTCAAAATTAAGTCTGGAAAATTATTCTAGTAATAAAAAAAGTGATCTCTTTAAATATGCAGTGTATGATTTCTGTAGTGCCATTCACATACTGTTATATTAAGATTATTCTCAACTTCTTGGATAATTTTAGATTTCTTCAAACAAGTTTATTTAGTGTTTATTACTATTACATAATATTATTCTGGGGAACACTAACTTAATGAATGTCACTATGGCATATTGTAAACAGTAACATTTTGTAGGTGCCACATGCTTGTATTTGAAGCAGCAGAATGGGCTCATTGCACTGCAGGAGCTTCTGAAAATGTAGATCTTTTTGGAGGACTCAAAGTAATTTGCAGTGACGAGAAACAGAGAAGATGGTGATTCTGACCACAACATTTCTGACAAGGCTTCCTTAAATTAGACAGACTGTGAATCTGCTGTTTTTTCTTTTGCAGTAATTGTGTAAATGTGAACAGCACAAGTGAGAATTTCTCTGTGCTGATGAAAGTTTGCTGGTAGGTGTGGCACTGCTGCCACAGTGGGAATGTGATATTTTATCATGTTTTACTGTACAGCCCATGCTGGCAGAGGCAACAGACCTGAGCAAGCACCTCACTAGCAGAGTTACATGAATATATTTTTATCATACTATGATAAAAAAAATCATGTTGAAAAAAGTTATATTTTACTGTAGAAAAAAATGTTTCATTAGAGGTACAAGATAAGATGGATAAATATTTCTGAATATTCTCAGAAGTTAAGAAAAAAATAAATCTTGTCAAATGACAGACTGAAAAATTATAATAGATTATTTCTTAAACAAAAAAAATAAAGATTTTGTTATCACCTGTAGCATACTCTCTAGGGCACTCTCATGTCCTGGTGAACATAGAAATAGAGTCTTGAAAAATACTTCAAGAAAATCTGTTTATGCTTACACAGCAATTTATACAGGCCCAAAAACTGATTTGTGCTGTGTTTTAATGCTTCAGCATATTGAAATCACTTAATATTGCTTGAAACAATGCTTAATAATGCTTAAACCAAGAAACAAATACACTTTCCCATGTCATACATCAGATTGGGGTGCTTATCTGCACGAGTGAGTGCACAGAGAAATGCATTTCTGTGGATGATGGAAACAAACCTCCTCCATTTGCAAACAGAAATGCTGGTTATGTTACAGGAGTGCACATGAGATGGGCATGAACTATAACAGCACCAGGGAAACACAGGCCTGAAGTCAGAATGAGAGAGATAATTTTTGTATCTACCTTTATATTGAGTTCATGTGCCCAGGCAATGACAAAAATCAGCAGTCATGTCTCAGTGCTATTGAAACAACACCACTTATTCATTTGGTTCTTATTGCTATTGAGAGGTTATTTTGGCTTTTTAAAATGATTAATGCTATTTCCTTTGGTATGAATTTTGATAGTCTTTTGACATTTCCATCTGTTCTTATGTTTCTTAAACTAAGATTGTTATAATATTTTTTTTTAAATCACACAAGTATAATAACTTGAGAAGGAAACTTTCACCCACTTTAAACAAACAAAAATAAAATGAACCCACTGACCTAATGTTTTACAAGAACCAGAGAGAAAAATCTGGGGGGGAGACGGGGACTTACTTCCAAGACACATTTCCCTGAAAACATGTTTTTTATTTAAGAAGCAGAGGTCAGATAAAAGCTTGTATAAGTGCTGTTCTTTGTTACTTTTGGAAAATAGTTTTATAAGGCTAAAAATTGTTTCCAAATTTAAGTTTTGTGCACCTCACTTCATTTGAACAATGGGAATTAAGAAACTATTCCAAAAGAAAATTAATTTTTAATTCTCAGGTGAAATTAATGTACAGAAAATATTTTAAATTGGAACACTGTGTCCAAGAATTGGGTTCAGATTCTTTTTCTTCCAGTGCGACCTCAATGTAACACAAAAGCCATTTGTTACACCAAGGGACAGATACACACCTAATATCTGTAATTTGTTAAGGTCTGTTGGTGTTCCTCTGATAACCTTTTATGGGGGCAGGAAGGAGGTTATTGTCACTTCTGCTGCAAATCTATCCTGTCTGAGCAGCAGATATAGTTCCTCCTTCTCTCCCATACATATATAAAAATATTTAAATGCTCTATTTAATTCCAACATCAGTATAAGAAGTCAAACCGAGTCATCCATCTCACACTGAAAGCACCTCAATGCCAGTGGTACATTTTTCCAGCTTTGAGACCAAAGAAAAATTTTGTTCTGCTAAATGAAAGCGATCAAGTGGTTAATCCTTTCAAGTGCAATTAGCAGCACTGACCTCCCTGTTCTTTAAAATGAGGGTCATGGGGAGGTAAAGGCCAGTTCTGGGCCTTTTCTTTCATATCAGAATACCCCTTCACTAACTATCTCTTCTGTTTCCAAAAACATCAGAGACCAAGAGGGAAAAACAGGCTTCTGCTTCCATTAGCAGTAACTTAAACAGCCATAAGTTAAAGGGGGAGGAAAAGGAAGAGCATCTCTATCTCCTTTCACAACAGAAGACATCTGGCCTCCTGCGGGGAGGCCCCAGATAACAAAGAACCTGTCATTGCAACCCCGCCCGATGTGTTCAGAGAACCATTTTACCTGCAGTCTGGCTCATTCATTTCCTGCCACTGGAGCCATCTGCTTTTGCTTATTGTGGGTATTTTTGTTCTTTCTTTGGCCACGAGCATGAAGTGGCTTCACTTTAGCATGCCTGCATGCTTGGTCAGAGGGAGTATTTAATCCTTCTCTCAAAATGAATAAGAGAGGGAGCTGCAAAAAACAATTCCTTTCCTGGAAGGTAGCACAAATGTCATCCAAGCTGAGGTTGAATAAAGGGTCATGTCAGTGCATGGGGTAAAGATACATTGAGACTGAGAAGAGATGCCAACTTGGAATCTACAGGAGAACCTTCCAAAGCACTTGTAATCTTACCTTATTTAAATCCTTTGCTGCTGCTTCTTGCAATTATTTTTCAGTTGGAGACCATCTGGTTTTTCACAGTGCTCTTCAGGCCCTGTTGCAGAGTAATACAGTGATCTGTTCTTACTTTTCTCTTGCACTGAGCTTCAGTATTTTGCTTGACTGCTTTAAAAATCAGCCTACATAAATGATGGTTATAGCTCACTTGTATAAAATGTAGTGTGACAGGAAAATCCATTCTAAGTATTCCTACCTTTGAAAGGGCCAAAAGAAGGATGGGGGTAGACTTCCATTAGTTTCCCATCATTTACTATAATTAATACACTCCCAGGTACCATTAACTTGTGCCTCAGAGTATTCTGGGACACAAAAGTTAACAGTGATGGCAGCACAGTTAAAACAGGAAAGCTTTTCCACTAAGATTAAAATATCATGTGGCAGTTAAACCCCTGATCTACTGATACCAGAATATGAGGTCACCTATTAAGGTACTGAAGAACTCAGCATAATTCCTGAACTGTTACCCCTTGTCTTCAGAGACACCATTTTAGTAAAATTCCAATGCTGTCATTAATAAGAATGTGAATTGTGATGGGTGACACTTAGTAATACTGACATTCAAAGGAAGTGTTTATATGAAAAATGTACCACATTCTTCCTGTTCACTTGTTGGGAAAGATAACACATTGCTGCCATTTTATGGATCCCAAAGAGAAATGAGATGCTGCAGAATTTTGAAAGTAGAGTATCACATTAAACTAAAAACACTCATAGTGGTGTGATTTCTTTACCACTATTTGCCAGAAATAAACTCACATAATTCTTGAGTTCCACAGCAAGAGGTGGGAACTACTTCTCTAATGCAAAGCAGACAGCAGACTTAGTATTTTAACCTCATGGAAAGTGGAAATTTTTGTCTAACTTTAGCAATACTGGTGCGGTTACCACATGATTTTACTGTTGACTTTTCAGACCACTGGTGTTGCAATAGGATGTTTAGAAACATACCACAGGAGAGAATGCTGCACACCAACCCACCCCAGCCTGAGTCCTGCTGCACCCACCATCCTGGGCACTGGGCTTCCCTGACCTAGGAAGTTCATTTCTGCCTCTGAATAACAAATCTCTCCCTATGAAGCTTGGCCCGTCAGCCAGTTGAACTGAGCACGAAACCTAAAGGCTGAGAATTATTACTTCAAAGGTTCTGATGGTAAAATTTTTCAACAACAGGGACAAGATGTACACATATAGCAGTGAGTACATATGTGTACACGTATAGAAGTAGGTGTACATGTGTTAGTGTCAATAAACAATATCTCTCCCCTAGCAATAAATGCATTAGGGCACAAGCCAAATATTTTCTCTGTTGCTGTTTCTGTCTTAGGGAACATAAAGAAAATCAGTGTGGTATCAGAGTTTACAGTATTAAAGATTAAACTGCTACATGCATAGAGCAAATGTATACTTTGAGAGACATATAGCTGAGCCTGCTAATTTACATAGATGAGTAGTTTGACTAGGAGTTCATGTAAGTGTGGATGAACTCTCCAGCACAAGTGCAGTATTATCCCTCCAAACAATATACTGGGAAAAACAAATGATGTTTTATATTTTATTACCATTTTGAATATTGCTGCTGCTGAGTCTAGTGAAGCTCCCTACACTCCTCTTGTAACCATCACATTTTCTTTGCAGCTCCAAGCAGTGCTGAAATATTACACCTGTTAAAAAAAAAAAAATTAAGAACACCCAACGAGGCTGAACAGGATATACCAGAGTACTTAAAAGTGTAAAACTAAAATTTAGAGACTGCTGAACTACACCTGTACAGGGGAAATGCCATGGATCCTGCTCCACCATTTCTTTAGGACAGAAGGAGAAAGGAGCAAGAGGACATCTACCATGTAAGGTACTAAGGAAAAAGGGTTACCTCAGGTGATAGTGGGCATAAGCACCTACGTACATGCACTTACATGATCCTTGATGGAAAATTGGTATTATACATAATGCAATGTGATGTTTTCTTTGCTGGCATTTGATTACTGACTGGAGAATAAAATAATCAAGCCACACTTAGAGTTTCTCTGAGGTTCCTTAATTAATATTATACAAGTAGTTTATAAATTGCTTAGTTTATGCTAGTATTTACTCTATTTCAAAGTAATTTTATGAGAAACAACAGCATATAAATCTATTAATTTAACTGTAAATTTCATAAAATATCTTCTCTCCTTCCAAAATGGCCTTTACTCTGGAGAATGTGTTTGTACATATGATCTGGTATAACCCATAACCTCAATAAAACAAGTTCTCTGTGAGGTAATAGCATGGACTCTTCATTTTTTTTTTTGCAAAATGACATGTCTCAGAATGATTTTCAACAGATATGATATCAACAAGGATTGAATATAATCTCTAGTTAATGTCTGTATCTGTTAATGTCCACAAGTTCTGGGTTTAAGCATACTTGAGGACCCTTCAGGCTTTCCTCCTAATGAGTTTCCATATGAAAAACCTTTCTTCTACTCAATTAAAAATTGAATTTAAAAAAGCATTCCTAGGAAGCACTCAGTTGTGAAGTGTTTCATATAATCATTGAGGTGGGGTTTTTTAACGGTGCTTGAATGCCACCCTCACAGCCTAAAGGTCTGCTTTAGCACAATTTCTGAAGTTAGTTGCTTTGGAGATGGATGCTAGTGAATTGAAGAGAATAAAACTCTTTATAGGTCTAAAAAAGGTATCCTTAGTATCTTTTCTACAGAAGAACAATTATTTGGGTTCCAGTAAAAGAAGTTTGCTCAAGCTGAAACTCAGCCTCCACTTCAAATGTTGCTCCTAATGCCAAATACTAAAAAAAAATTTTTTTCAAGAACATAATAACATTTTATTTCTTTCAAAAACTGTTTGAGGTTTCAGTTTTATGACTAAATTGTTTGCCAAATGCAGCATGAATTCCAACTGATCTAAACCTACATTTTCTAGCGATTAGTCTGTGCAGCTGAAACATTCTATACAGCTTTCTCTTTTCACAGGCTTCCTTTGGGCCTGATCAATGCTACAGTCTCTTTTTTTTCATATTTACAGCAGACAAGGAAGCAACTTGATACAGCTTCAGTTATCAGAAACATCATGTAAAGCACCTCAGTCTACCTGAAGCAATTGGATCAAATTACTTCGTCTTTTAACCTCACACATGTCTAAGTGTGCTTAGAATATTGGCTTTGATCTGCATACCTACATTGGCTAAGAGCACATAAATGCTTGTATTCTATTCTATTGTGACTGTTTGGCGAAAAAATACAACATAGAGACCTTCACATTGCCAAAAGCTTCCCCTTTTCCTTGAATATTGCTTACTGTATGTGGGGAGCTGGTTTAAAATCAATGCCTGAAGCAGCCAGGGAATTTGCCAACAAAGCCATATTGCCCAACTTTTGAATGCAGAAGGCTCTCTAAGGTAGGCATAGCCTACCTGATTTTGCTCATTTTAAAAGGAGAATTCATTGAAAAAATAATAGAGTAACAAACAAAAAAATATTTAATTTTGTGAAGCCCATGAAAACTGACACAGTAGATTCAAGCAGCCAATGCTTTAGCTGTTCCAACATATGGATGGCTGAATGGAAATGGCCAGGATTTGTTTTTCAAGGCCTCAGAAAAGTTCTGCCTTCTTTGTGTAGGCAGTGGTCGTTTTCAATTAAACATGTGCCTATGTATATTCATCTTGTGGTGCATCAATTTAGAAAAGACATTTCTTGTTTATATCTCTGTATATTGGCACTCTTCTTGTGAGAAATTAATATATCATACCTAGCACTGTACTAAACTCTGTCACTGGTTTTTAGTACCTTATTTTGCTTTCCAGAGTTCCAGTATTGGCGTGCAAGTGATAAGAGAATTGGGATCTTCCTGTGCTGCTGAGTTTACTGTGTCATTTGCACCACTGACCAGAGCCAAGTCTGTATCTGAGACAAAAAGGAAATATATTACAAAATGTGTTATTATGAAAGGAAAAGCCACTGCTTCGAGTTATCAAGACAACACCAAAGCACATTAATCAAGCACACAATAAATGATGACAGTTTGTTGTTTCATCTGAATGAAAAAATTAAGTCCATCTGTTGGTGTTCAAACCTAGAATCTAATCTTGGCAGTTCTAACTGCTAATGAAAACTATTAAAAAAATTTCGTGCATTCTCTATGCAAGATATCATAAAAATAAATACGGCTCAGATTTAAGAGGCAGCCCTTACGCAAGGCCGTGGTGAGGTTGCTAAATAGAGCACATATGTGGGATCTGAGGATGACGTCCATCATGTTATACCACATGGGGTGTCTCAACACTGCTCACTGACAGGCCAGATCTACAACCTCTGCTCTGTTGGGCTCCTCAGTTCCACGGCTCTGCATGCGGGAAGAGCTCCATTGACACGCAATCCATGGTAGGTCCAGGAACTGACATTTTAGTAGCTCAAGAGATTCCACAGCTTTGGTTAAGATGGTACAACACAGCTCTAAAAATTAGTAAAAATTCCTAAACCTTCTAGTCACAGTGGTCATGAGTGTTACATTTCTAGAGTAACTCTACTGATAATAATATAGTGTTCAGAGCTTTGGCACCAGCAGTATCAAGTCGATCTCCCTTATCCTCATGCTCATTCAATCCTTCAAGGAACTCTTACTGGGTTTGTGAAGTGTGACATCTGCACAAGCAGCAGTAATTCTCTGCCAAGCATTCTTACCCACATGCCTACCAATTTATTTTTTGTTGTTGTTTTTCAGTTGTTCACAGTTTGCCCAGTAAAGTCAAGCTTATTAATCTGTGTATCTGTTCAGTCTCCTGGAGTCCATATTAAAATCAGCACCACATTACAGCTTCCATTTCTCCTAACCTTTCTAACCACAGGGCTGGCTGTGCCTGGCAATGAGAGGAGGATGTTCTGGCTGTACCATTTTATTACCTTCTGCAAGAGCCCTCCAAGTGACTGAGGTGCATGAGCCAAAGGAATTTAGTGTCCTGTTACATGGAGAACAGCCTCCAGGTCTAAGAGGTCTACTAGGTCTACTTCAAGCATAGAAGGGAATAAAAGCAATGTAACACAGAAATGTCTGATTTCCCTGCTGCCTCTAAGTTCCTAAAATGCACACAAATGTAATGTCAACAAACTTACAACATCACATACATCAGTGCAAGCAGAGTATCCTCACTGACAACAATGAAGCTACATCTACTTCAGATGTTTATGAAACATAACTACATAATCTTGTCCTTCTAATCTGTGTTTATAGGATGAACAGTGAATCAGAAACATTTTAACATTGTCAGCTGAAAATATTTGATATTGAGTCTTCTAGAGGCAGTAAATTCAAGATCCCATGGTACTAAACTTTGCTTGTAAACCTTCCTTTATGAGCTGTCACCTGCATAGTTGCTTGGAACAAAATCATCTTGCTTTACTCCCATCCATTAAAGCTGGGCCCAGTGATGCAAAGCAGCTCTAAACCAGATAAAGCAGTGAAGAATTCTTGTGTGAAGGAAATATGGTCAGTGCAAGGTGATATAAAGATCAGAAAAGGTGCTGTTGAAATTACCAGTTCCCCATCTGTCAGTGACCTTCATAGAATCTAGTTTAATAGTTGGCAGCTTCAGAAGGAACAAAAGGCCTAGAGGCAGTATAGAGCCATCCTGACCTTTCTTCCTGATGCTACAGCTCATGTGCACCTCCAGAGAAATTATCACAGCTGTTATAGCCTTCCTTACTCGTGCAGTATGAAATATATTAGGAAAGGTTTGCCATCTTCCCAAATTTAGGAATTATACAGAAAAAAAGAAATCAAAAGAGACAATTAAGTCAGTGAAAATTAAAACCACAAATCATTAACAACCTAAACATTGATTTTTGTGTGTTTGTATTTCCAACAATGCAGCATTCTGCTTGGAATTCACTATTTATTACGAATAAAGCCTCTGACCCTTTTAAAGATAATTTCTTTAATCTTCAGGGGAAGAGTATATCAACATATTGACTAATAACAAATTTCTAGGACTTTGAGGGTTTTCTGTTGGAATTTTTTAATGTCACTATACAAAATGAACTGCACTTAACGTTACTCTCTACAGCAGCCTGCTTTGCTGGGGGAGGCACTTTGGCCCTTCTCTTCCTGTTTTTCCATATCCCTCTCCTTTCAGAGGCCCCTCATCATGATGACCCATCCATTTGGCTGAGGGCTGCACGCAGCTGCCTCTGAAAGAAGCCAACTGTATTCTTGGGTCAGCTGGAGGAGTCAGCTTGATTACAACTGTAGGGATATCCAGCACTTCTAATGCCCCTAACTGAGGGGAGAGAAGACCTAGGCCTCACCTCAGGTTTCAGCAGAGGTGCAAAACATATCAGCTGGCACATAGCAAGCACTCAATAGCTTCAGGCCATCCAGTGCATAAAGACTGTTTTATTTAAGGATTTTCTGCTACATATTTGGAACCACAGTCTTTTGTTCACATGCTTTCATAGGCATTTGTGAGTTCTTACAATGAAAGAGGAATGATTAGCTGGCACGTTTCACCTCACTGGCTCTGCTGTCCTGTAGTTGGGATGTGTGAAAACTGAATGTTTCCCGATTTCCATTAATATTTTCCATGTATCCTACAGAAATTAAACTGTCCTGAAATATCATGACACAAACATTTTTGTTATTGCTGCAAATTGAAAATGAATGTTGGCCAAAGCTTGCCATTCTTAGAGAAATCTCAGACTGAATAACTGATTACCATGCACAAATCTTGGCAGTGCTGGGTCACCCATTTTTAGGAAAAGCAAGATTTTTCTATTTTTAATGAGAATTAACATGATGAGGGAGGTCCAATGAAGTAAATTCAGTGACTTCATCTCATATTGCTTTGCTATAAACCAGTACTATTCAAAGGGTAAAAAACCAAAGATTTCTAAGGTCTGTGCCCAATGCTTTGTATTTCCACTATCCCCAGCTCCACACTAGAGACCTTCACTATTTTTTAAGATGAGGAAAAATTCTCAGCAGAGTTCACAGAGATCAAGTGAGTCATTGCTCATTAAGGTCTAATCATAAAGAACAGGTCTGACGTACACTGGAGGTGGAATATACACCAATTGTAAATCCTCAGAATTCCAGGATATGACAAATGGTGTAAACCTGATGAAATTAGGATTATTGCAGTCTTAGGGCCTTGTTGAACCCTTTTGCCCTATGCTGTATCATTGCAAAAGAATGAACACTATAGTGCTGCCAAGACATATGCTGTGATACTTCTACTTAATCAACATTTTTCATTTGAACCATCGCATTATTTATGGTTGTAATTCACTACATCAGGAGGTGTCCAGCCTTCAGTAATATCACATATATCCAGGACATGCTGTTAAATGGGTTTACTGGTGACAAGTGGGCACCAAGTCCCAAAAACATTGAGCTTTTTTTAATACATCTGAACAACGGGTTTCACTGCAAAGATCGAAAAGAACTACAGCCTTGTATTTTGTTCACCAAACAATATTATAACCCCCTTCTCAGCTTATGGTGTAGCGTTGTCTATAATGCAAATTTTCAAGCCTCTTGCATATTTGCACATCACTAAAATAACAGTTAATACTTAGCACAAGTCTGCAACAGACAAAAAAAGCAAAATTTTTTCTCCCAAACACTTATAATCAGGGACAAAAGCATCAAAGACAGAAGAGGAGGCCTGTCAAAGTAGAGCTGGGCAATGCTTTAGTAGTGTGCACTCAGGTAGCCTACAAGTAAATGACCCAGCAGGTTTAGGCTTTCAGAACAGATTTCAAGGTAAAGAAAAATGGTACCCTCTTGGAAAGCTCAAGACACTCCAGCTTCCAAGGAAGCAGGGATATACAGAGGAACAGACAGGGTTAGGCATGAAGTTGGCTAATGATTGTAGAGGTCTGTACCTGTAATTATGGGCAATACATAGGAATGACTGCTAAAATCACATGAGGTCCGGGTGGCATATAAGGAGAGAAGAGATATTGAGCAGTTTTAGTATTCTAAGTGTGAATTGGACACTCAAAGGAAGTGGAAACAAGATTTTGACATGACTAAAGTGACAGTGAACAGTGGAATATGCACAGTGTTACACAAGACCTAAGGTATCTTGGAAAGTCTACTGTTGAGTAATTTGAACAGCAAATACCTGAACTGTCACCCAGGGTAATGATGGAATTAGATTCCTTTATCATTTCAACAGCTTGGTCTAATCCAGCTTCAGTGCAAGTTCCAACAATTTCCATAGGTTTCCTTTCTGCTGTAAATGCTGTGCCATATCCACCCAAAAGTGACATTTGGCAAAGATCTGATTGTGGCCTAAATGTGAATGTATTAAATGAGCATATTGGTCAAAACACCAGTTCCAAGTCCATTAAAAGAATCCCAAAATAAATAGTTCATTTGCTGTAAGTTCCCATGTAGTTTGTTTGGGAAGTCAGACTGCGTTATTCTTCAGCTCATTAAAGTTTACTTTAACAAGCTGTGAAGCCAATACAAAAATGGTTCAACAGTTCAGTATTGCATTGCCTTTTTTTTATGAAAGCTTCAGGATCCCACTTGGCATAAAAATCACATTTCAAACAGATTTTCAGATACACTTTGGAGAAAACCTTTTTTTCAGCCATTTTTAAACAATTTCTCTTCTTCTCCCTAAACTACCTTAACATTTTCCTTAGTGAAACAAAGATATTCTTTGTTTAAATAACGTCTCCCATCCTGCATGTTATGAAACAGCACATTTCTCATTTCCTCAGAGCCAGTTGCTGGGTGAGATCTTTCAGTGAAGGCCATTCAGTGTTTTATGAAATATTAACTTACATGGTTGGTTTCACGAGTAAATCACATTGCTGTTGTTGCTTTTTCTAGTTGTTTTTTAAGTTCAATTGCCAGATTTAGTGTACTAGGAACTGTTTACATGCAGAAGA